CTTGGAAGCCACTTAAAGACAGAGTCACCACATAAACATCTTGATATTCCCCACAGCTTCTAGCAAATCCTCTTGCCTAAGATCGGTGCTAAAGAAAACTCTTCGGATGGACACAAAGCAGCAGAAGCTTGCTGCAAAATCCCCGCATATGTCTACCAGCCGCAAAGGGAAAGAAACAATTGTAAAAGCACCTGTATTTGAACACTCAGAATGAGTTCATGGCTATGCTAATTTCCTTATCCATTAACTCAAGCAATTCTCAGCGCAGCCAAGAACAGTTGGTATTATTTTCCTCTTTACATAGAGGAGGAAACTGAAAGCCAGAGAAGTTATATGAGGCTCTAAAGATCTAAATCTAGACAGTGATGGGGCTGACCCTCAAATCCAGGTAAGACCTAGAAACCACTGCTTTCTTAAGTGGGACCACCCGCTTTCTCTTAGGCTACTTCTTCCCTTTCAGCACACAGATTCCCTCCTCATTTTTCCAGAGTCTGGAGTCTGGAAGTACTGGAGATTGCGGGCAGGTAAAGAGCTACTTTCATGTCATTCCATGCAGGGTAGGGGCCTCTACATCCAGCAAGCCTCAGGCCCGGGTGAATAGCAAAGGAGAGGGCAATGCAGACTGCAAGACAGCCTTCATCTTACTCTGAGAACTTGGTTCCTGGGGCCCCTCACAGCAAGGATCTGTTGTGGCTGCTCTTCCAATCGGGAATAGGCCAGGACTGATGAAAGCAGACCTAGCTCTCCCCGCCAAGAGAAACAGCAGGAGCTGGCCTGGCCCCTGCCCTGAGCAGACTGTGGCCTTAATAGTGTCCATGCTCTAGTCTTGTGAACCCTTCCAGCCCTAAAAGGAAGTCTGACATCTTAGGCTGCTGTGTCTTCTCTGACGCCCCCATCACCCTGCAGAGAGGTGTTTAACAGCTCCCCACAGAAACCGACTTGCCTTGAGTCCACTTGACAAGTCATAATAAACCAAACTAATATGTTCTGTTTTTTTAATAATTAGAGAAAAATTAAGGCATATTAACTGCTCTCAGCCATCAGTTATGGCATATAGTAAAATAATTTGTAGAATTCAGTTTTAAGCAGATTTCCTATTTTTATCTTGACAGCCCCATGGTAAAAAGTAGATTTTATATCCCTTGTTATCAGATTTAAAAACAGGTTCAGAGACTTGAATTCACTTGAACAACATCCCAGAGTTTTAAGTGTCATCCCTGGGTTTGAATTCAAGTTCGGTTTATCTGCGTCATTCCATTATACCTCAGCTGCTGTTAACCAACAATGAGCGGGAGGTAGAGCTTTAGAGCTCGTAAATCTATTTCATGTGCATCATCTAATTTTATCTGCATAGGGATTCTGGCAAGTAAGATTGGCAGGCAGTGTTCTCGTTTTGAGTGAGGCTCAAAGCAGTTAAACTATTTGTCTCAGGGAACATGGAAAGTTAGATGCTGAGTCAGTGTCAGAAGCTTCTCTGGGGGACATTTCAGGATGGCTGTCTCCACTGCATCCAGACAAGCCATCAATAACCAAAGGCCCAGTTAATAAGTGCTTCTGTTCTTTCAATGGCACGGAGATGCTCTAATCTAATTTTTTAAATGAATGTACTGTCAACCAAAAAGGCAAATGGGAGGCACTTGGAGGCCATGAGGGTAACACAGGGTAAGATGGCAGCAGTGGGCAGCCCTGGGTACCCTGAAGCCAGGTCCTAAGGAGCAGCATGTGGGCAGCTGGCCCCTGGCTTCCTGGGCTCTGTGATGTAAATTTGGAGACTCACTGCAAAAGTGGTTTATAACATAGGTTTTGGTGTCAGAGAAACCTGGGTTGGGTTCCAGGTGTGACTTGGCCCAATGTGGACTAAGTAGCCTTGGGCATCAGTTTTCTGATCTGTAAAATGGGATACCAATAGTGCCTAGTTCATGGGGCAGCTGTGCTGGCTAATGCGGATAATGCTTAGAGGACACTTAGCACAGTGGCCAGCACAACCCGAGAGGGAGATTAGAGATGTTGACAGGGTTGGAGCTAGTAGGGAAGGGAGAGACAGGGCTGCTAAATGTCTGATTTTTGCTCTGCTTTTTTCTCAAAATTAATTCTCAGTGGATATTATCAAATTGATCCTGTTTTCCTTACTCTTTCATTGACACAGCCCCTGACAACACACGAAGCACTTGTTATAGAAATTAGCTAACTTCCTCACGGCCAGTCTGGGAGAGAGATGCTGTGACGGGAGTAGGCATCTGAGAGAGGAAGAGGTTACCAGTTGAATATCTGGCAGGACAGAGGCCAGAAATCACCTCTTTCATCTTGTTATTCCCATTCTGGTGGCTCATCCTTGGCTCCGATGGCAAGCAAACCAAGCCACAAATCTGAACATCAGAAAGACATCAAAGGACACCCACCCATCTTCTACTCAAGGTAAGACTTCCCTATGACAGTGTTGATACCAGGGAGCTCCCTGAAACCCTTCACTTGACATTTCGTTTGCTGGGCAATTCCTGTCTTCACTGTGCTCAAACTTGCCCCCAATGTCTCAATGGCACCATTAAGCCAGGATGCTGATTTTGTTTCCCTTTGTTTTTCAAAACCAGAGGACTGTGACATTCAGGAGTATCTACTCATTGCTGCTTAAATATACCTGCCTGTTCTAAATGCCAGATTCTTGTTCAAGTCATTTCCTGGGTCTAGAATATTGTTTCCCTATTCTCTTCCTGGCCAAATTATACCTCCTGTAAGTTCAAACTGTAGTGTTTCCTCATCCATGAATTCTCCCTTACATTCATCAATCCCCTCTTTCTTTGGATTAAACCATCTATGCTCTGTTTCTTTGCAATTGTTAACACGCAGACAGCCTTGGGGCATCATTGACAGATGTGTATGCATTACTCACCTGGATTAGGTTCTCTCTGAGGCAAGAAAGTGTCATCTTCATTTTTATATCATCTTTATATGATAGCCCAATGCCTGGCATATAGTAAAAAGCTCAATAAATATTTGTTACATGATTTGGTTAAATTAGAATATTCTATTCCTTGGAATTATTATTAATTTACTTCAGAATTATGGGTCTATATTCTTTATTATCAATAGTTTCCATTTATTGGATCCCCACTATTCAGACATATGGTTCGCTGAGCATTTTTCATACAGTGTATGATCTGACACTTGGAAAATTTCAATATTGGAGCTATTACATCTGCTGTTGCTTTTCGTATGACTAAACTGAGGCACAGAGAAGTTACATAACTTGCCCAGATGTACACACCTGGTAAAATGATGCAGTGAGGCTTTGGTTCCAGGAAGGCTCATGGCAGAACTCGCATTCTTACCACCACTTTATACTATTTCCTGGAATTTGGTCGGTTCTATGATTCCCTCACACAAAGCAACTTCACAATAGGGGTGTTTTGTTCTTGATAATGATGGTGGCTGCTAATAATGCTGACTTGTGAGATGCCAAGAAGAAAAGCTGTTCTCTGTTCATCTTTTTTTTCTTTTTTCCTCTTTTGGAGGTGGGTGGTAATTAGGTTTATTTATTTATTTACTTAGTGGAGGTACTGGGGATTGAACCCAGGACCTCATGCATTCTAGGAATACACTCTACCCGAGTTATACCCTCCCCCTCAAGAAAAGCTGATTCGAGAAAGTGAATTGTTCTAAATGCAGAATTCCTAACACAGTTTAGATTCCACACACCTAGAATGAAAGAGAAAAAAAATCACAAAAGACTTATGATAGAAGTCAAATTTCAGCTATTGGTTTGTTCTTCTTTTTAAATTGCATTTTTGATCTGCAAGATCTGAAAATCCTTTTCTATCAGTATAAACACTTGCACCTTGCAAACATGCAAATACTTAAGGGACCTCAATGGAATTTCATTTTCCATGGCAGTTCACTTCTAATCCTGATTGGCCAGCTGGTAAATGTCGCCAGGGTATGTCTAAAAATATATATTTCTTATCTGTAAAATACCACTTGTCCTTTTATTCTCATAAGAAATGGGTGAGATAGCTCAACTTTAAAGAGAGAGAGAGAAAGGCAGAAATAGAGACTATTCTACCTAAGGTGAAATATGCTTTTAGAATGCATAACACCTGTTTCTTCCCCAAACAAATGTTGCAAATGGAGCTTCCAAGTCTGGGGCCCATGATAGATCGGGCCTTTTGTTTTGTTTAAGTTTTTTTTGTTTGTTTTTAATTACATAGAAGTTTCCCTGTCACCTTGGCATATTTGGAATTCAAAATTCTGTTATAAAAAAGGAGAGAAATTTTTGATACTTTTTATCGAAAGTTTGAGGTTTTTTCTCTTAATAATTAGGCTTTGATAGGAGCCCAGAGACAGGTCATTGTAACTCAGCTTTCATAATTCAAATGACTTAAAAAAAATTAACCAACTTAACCATAGGGCACATAGCAAGGTCTAGCTAGGCATGGTGAAGGTAGCAACCATAACTTGACCCCACCTTAGATGGTCCATCTTTTATACTTACTTAGAGAATAAAGGCAGGTCTAGGACAAATGAAATTGTATAAAGTCTTAAACTCCATGGTCTTTTCAGAGATATCTAATGATCTCATACTCACTGGGCCAGAATTTAGATTAGAGAAGTATGGATCCATGATTTAGATATCAGAGAGTTTGGAAAGAAACCTAGAAATCCGTAGTTGTAAGAGAAATCCAGGTGACTCTGATTAACCAGGCTTGGACGCCACTGATTTAAGTCACGTGCTAATTATCCCAGCCTAACCCAGCTCAGTTCAAGAAGACTCTTCGTTGAATAAGCAGCACTAACCGGGCGAGAGGGTGCAGGAGAGCTCAGTTTTACTTTTGGTTTAGTCGCTAATGTGTGGGCTCTGGGCTTGGCGCCTCACTACCACGTTTCTTCGCTGAATAAAGGTAAGTGTTGGATGACCTTTCTAGCTCTAATGTCCTGGGATTGGAGAAAGCAGTTTAAAATTTAAAGGTATTAGTATCCTTGTCAGTTCTCTGTCCGCCTCCCTGTTTCCTTCTTTTTTGCCATCCAGAAAGCAAAGCCCATAATCACCCCCAAATTTCCTCTGCCTTTGAGGGGTGCCAGCGCCAAGGAAGTCTGCACGATCAAGGGATGTAAACACATTTCAAGAGACTTCTCTCTACATTCTTGTCACAAAAGACGAGCACTTTTTTAAAAGAGTGAAGGAAACAGATTGGGTTTGTAAGAAGAAAAGAGATTAATATCTGAAAAGCTGGGAGAGCCTGTTGTGAAATTTTGAAAATACCTTTACTTTGAAACAACCCTGCTGAAAAATAATTAGATTTTAAGAAGGGCTCTTTAGCATATTTTCTGTCTGTAATTTTGTAGGTTTTCCTGTAAGAAAACTGTAGCTCTGTAGTAAACAGCAAAAGCAACCTAAATGTGTCAGGGTGTAAAATGGGAGTTAAGAAAAAGAAAAGAAGAAAGAAACCTTGAGAATAACTGGAGTTTTTCTTTCCAAGCAAATCTTCAGTAAGAGTTAGATCAGGGCATTGGCGGTAGGGCCAGGGGTGTTATTTCCTTAAATAAATGTTTCTCCAAATCTTTTTCATGGGCTATTAGCATAATTCTCTGCAGAGGCTCCTAGAAAAAGTCTTTGTTTATATTTTGGCACAAAAACTTGGAGGATAAATAAATGAAGCTCCGCAGTGTACATTAAAATAATAGATACTGGCATAAGTCCTGTGGTTACAATAAACGCTTGCTAAACCTAATTATAAAAATCCTCCTCCCCCCAAAAAATCCACACTTATCAGGGATGTACATAACTAGCATTCTGTGGAAAAACAGGCTGCCAGTTTGAAATGTTGACGCTGTATAGTGCACAACTGAAAAATACTTGAGGTTGCCGTTAGCCTTGTAGTCATCAGAAACATGTAGCATTTAAACCATTGCTATTTATTTTTCGCCATCCGCCAAAAAACAGCCATCACTTGAAGAAGGAGTGGTTTTTTGTTTTGTTTTTTTTTCAGTAAGTCGCAGTAATTTACTTTGTAGGATAGTGGTTAGGTGAGGGAAATATTTTAAACCAACTAGTATCTATGCTCTTAAAGGGCTGGGGGTGGAGTGGTGCCTCTCCTGGAGATATTTTAAGGTGCTAATCTAGGTTGCATTCTTTCCGCATTTTTTAAAGGCATACAGATATTTTAGTGAACATGTCAGTAGCTCATGGATATCCCGTATCTTCAGCCGAGACATCTTTTTAATTAAAAAATCAGTAAATGGCTATCATGTGTAACTTAGGGCAATAAGCATTTCAAACATCCAGCTTTCTATTGCAGTAGAGAGAGAGTCACAGGATCAATCAGCCTTTAGAGTCCACTTGTTTGTTAGATTTGCATCTTGGGACTCCTAGAACAATGGAAGGATAGACAAAGTTTCTAGGCTTTAATGCTGACCCTTCAGCCTACGTGATACTGAATATGTAAATGTCATGCTCTAGCTCCACCCTTTCATGTGGAAAATGGATGTCATGTCTGCTGTGTGGAGATCAAATACACTAAATGACAGGCATACGTGAAAGAACTTTGTAGCTCAAAAGGCACTAGTGACTGATTACTAGTTAAGTAACTGAAAATTGTTAAAGTATAGTTTCTCAGGCGGAGCTGAGACTTCCACCACATTTCTGGTTTGCTAGCTGCCTTCTGTCCAACTCATAGTGTTACCAAGGGCAAGTTCTCGTGCCTGGCGCACAGTGAGGCCAGACAAACTGAACCATCTGAGTTTGGAGCAGAGAAAGGTTTGCTGCTGGGCTGAGCAAGGAGAATGGGTGGCTTGTGCTAAAAATATCCTGAACTCCTCAAAGGATTTCATTCAGTAAAGCATTTTTAAAAGCCGGGTTGGGGGGGGTGGGGGGTGGCATGTCACAGGATATGTGATGAGCTCGTGCACAACTCTCTGATTGGTGTGGTGGTAACAGGGTGGTCTAACATGATCAACCCTTAGGTGCCCATAGGTCTCAGGACTTAGGATCATCAGGTAGTCAGTTGCTTCCACTTGGTGGTGGTTTTAGCATCTGTGAAACGACTCAGGAAATGTGCTTCATATACTGTGATCTAGGTAGTTCAGAGAGGAGCTGCAGCAGAGGATATGGGGGAGGTGTCTGTCCCAGGAAGGCCCCATAGGGTCCTGCTTGGTTACAATAGGGCACTAGTAAGGGACCAGAAAGCTAAAGAAAGTAAAAAAAAAAATAAAAAAAAAATTTGCTCTGTTTGCCTCCTCTGTCATTTTGCTTTTTGACTTTTTTTGACTTCCATCCTGTTGGCTACACCCCAGCAAAGCTCCTTCCCCCTGGTTTCAGTGCCAGCAGCTGATTCCACTGGTGCTTTCCCAGTGTTGCAGAACTAGCTTCACTGTGTCCCTCAGACCCCGGCACCCTCCTGCTACTGCCTCTTTGGAGTTCAAGGACCCAGCCAAACGGGGCACTTCATCTTAAGAGACACCACCACCACCACCACCACCAAGCTGTAACTGCTGCTTCTCATAGGTCTGAATTTTTCTGCAGGGCTCTGAGTTCCCAAGTTGAAATAATTCCAACTTCTCCCCTTTGCTCCTCAATTTTTGGATTCAAAGCTGTTCTGTGTAGTATCTCAAATCTTGTCATAATCCATTAATGTTCTTTCCACCTCTTGAACTCTTTAATACCTAAATAACACTTCTGTCTAAATGTGTGTATTTTGGGGGGGTGGGGATCCTTACTGATAGAACTTCTGAACCAGGATTGCTTCCCTCTCCCCAGCCCCCAATATAATACTTGGTTTGTATATTTAAACCTATAGGCATAGTCTTCACTGCTACAGCAAAGTATGGTCTCTTGGTTATTCATCGTTAAAAACATCCTACTCTCTTGACATAACTTAATGGTCACACTTTGCTAGAGACATGAATCAAGTATTTTCCTTTACCTTTAAAACTATAGTCAGACCTCATCTTATTGCACTTTGAAGATACTGTGTTTCTTAAAAATTGAAGGTTTTGTAGCAACCCTGCATCAAGCAAGTCTATTGGCGATATTTTTCCTACAACATTTGTTCACTTTGAGCCTGGGTCATTGTGTCTGGGTCTCAGAATATTTCCAAATGTTTGTTATGGTGATCTGTGATTATTGATCTTTGTTAATAGTTTGGCATTTTTTAGCAATTTATCATGAATGTATGCCAGCAGCCTTAAGTGAGTAGGCTGTGGGGCCCAGGCCAAAGTTCAGAATAGCTTGCACCTGGTAAGGGGTAAATGTACGCATGCGCTAGGAGCGTGAGTCAGCACTATGAGCACCACACATGCGCCAGTAGCATTATAAAAGGACAAGTGCGTACACCTGAGCGCCACCTGCCGCGCGCCACCCACTTGTAATGCAATAAAGTGCTGTTTTGCTCCATGTTGGCTCCTCGCACCTTCTTCCACTTGGGCAGCTCACCTCCTCGAATCCCTCTCCAGCCTCCCTTGGCTGACAATGTATATACATTATTTTTTAGGCAAAATGCTACTGTGTGCTTAGTAAACTACAGTATAATATAGCCAACTTTATTAAGTACTGGGAAACCAGAAGTTCATGTTAGTCACTTTATTGCAGTATCAGCTTTATTGCAGTGGTCTGAAACTGAATCTACAATATCTCCAGGGTAGGCCTGGACTTGAAATTTAAGTGCAACAGCTATATAAAAGGACAACCATTTCTTGACTTCAAAGTTGAGAAGAAACTAGGAGTAGTAGCGTGATTGTGCAAAGTGCACTCCAAAGGGTGTTAAATCCAGAAATAGTAAAAATTAAAACCAGATTGGTAAAATAGTATTTATTAATAGTTTACACATAGAAAAATAGTTTGTGATGTGAAAGTCTTCAAATCCCAAACTGATACAAAGCTCAGAGGCACAGTGTTAGAGCATGGCTTATAAAGTTAAAATGAGACCGTCCTTTAACCTTAGCAATGACAGCAGAGGTTAAAAATGGTTTACCTTACATCATTTTAGGAAGATGAATTAGATTTTTGCCATTATCAGAGGCATTTACAAGAAATAACCTAATTTGCACTTCAACTTGTGAAATAAGCTAGATCTAGTTTGGCTTACATGGTTTCATCCTCTTAAATGGTTTCATCTGCTCAGAATTTTCTACTTTGGTCTTCATTTTGTACTTTAACAAGGGGTAGTAGGCCTTTTTATTAGGTACAGCTGACTAATAGGCTTGGTACTTATGCACCTTTTTTTTTTTTTTAACAAGCAGCCAGAAACTACTTGAATCTCCTAATCTTTAAATACTATGCACTATTTTAAGTTAAATACTAAAAAAAGGCTACCTCTGTAGACATGGTCTTCTCCGAAGCAGATTTGGTCCCCTGAGCATCAGTTGGTAACTCTTTAATCTTTAAATGATTTACTTTTTTTTTAGTTTTTGTATAATTTTTAAAGGTTAGTTGGCAACTTTTAGAGAATCCAAAACATTGACTGACAGCCTGGTCTGAACACATACTATATGGTAATCATATTAGCAAAAGCAGCAGAAGAAAAAGATTTTCCAATCAAGAGGAGAAATCAGTTATTAAGAGAAGCGATTGATCACATAATCATGATGTCAAAAAGCTCTATTGCTGAATAAGTGCTCTCTATTTCTGTAACAACTTGGAAAAGTATAATATTGCAAGAGTCCCTGTTGAGAAATTGTAGGAATGTAGAATTAGAAGGATATTTTAATACTGTTTTTTAATCACTTAAATATAATTAACATGCTTTTCCTAACATAGATCTTGAAATGCTAGCATCAAATTTTAGACAAATGGTATAGAAATCATAACAAGTCACTGCTATTCTCTAGGGCATATTTGACAAACTTGGGTTTAAGTTGATGGGAGGCAACACAGAATGGCCTTCTTAGTCATATGCCTTCAGAG